AGCGCCTCCGGTATATGTGTGCGTGTGTTCACCTCGATTAGAGAAGTCATTCCAGATATAGTCACGGCAGTCCGGAAAGTCGAAGTGCTTCCGTCGGATTCCAATTAATGCTCGGAGCCTTTATTCTTGGCTGTAGGTATAGGTTAGGTTAGCTCGCACCTCACGTGTGAACCTAAGAACACACGATTCCGTCAAAGCATTTTATGCTGCACAGGTTACGCCACCTCAGCTTATCGGATATCAGTGATACATTACAATAGACTTGAGTAGCTCTTGCTGTGTTGCAACTTACAAGCACAAGTAGAGAATTAAAGAAAAAAATATTATCTTCTTTTTTTATTAAAAACGAGCTTGCGAGAGCACGGTTATGGTCTCATCTCATATGTTGCGCTGTAGTACAGCATGGCGACACCACTGATTCAGATACTTTGGAGTTACTAGCGCATCGTAAAACCTCGTTGTCATCGGCGGCTTCCTGAACAAGGTTGCGGCATGACAGTAATATATTATATTGTGCCTACATTGCACTGTTTGCAACAGCAGACTGATATTTCATTATCGACAAGCAAACTCTACCTGCAAAAATTAAATGTAATACGAAGAGAATGCCCATAGTTTTAGTAATCAGTAATTTGTAATGTGATATAATTAAGTTTTAGTGATTTTTAAGAAAGGAATCGGTAATGTAAAACAGTTAGTTTTGGAAAATGCTTTTGCCATCTCTCGCCTAGAAGTCTCAAGAGGGCGACTGTACTAAAGTGATTAACCATTTCGAGAAGAGATAATGAGTTGAGAAAAATTAACGCAATATTGTAATTACACTCCCAAAATTTGACGGGTGAACTTGTACTTTAAACTTTTGTTTACGGAAAGGTGGAGTTCTAGTCACCGGTGTGGCCACGTGCAATATGACGTCTAAACGCGGCACTGGTCACTAGTAGGATCTCAAAACGCAATATAAAAATCCAAGGAACCGAAAAAAAAAAAAGGCTCTGCTTCGTATTATGAATTTTTGCAGATCTCAATATTTGGAGTTTCGGTCAAATTTCAGGACAAAAACAACGGTCTGACAGCCCCCAGCACTGTTTATTCTAACGTGTGTCCCATTTAGGCAACACCAGGTGGGTTGGGGTAAAAGCACCGGACATGTTAGAGTACGCACGCTGGCATGAATTCCCGTCCCGTAAACACTTTTTGTAAGGCTCGCCACTTCCTCTTCAAGTACCCAGGGTCACAATACACTCTGTAGTACCGTATTTTCCGGACTATATAAGTTTAGAAGTTGAAAATTCACCCGATGCGGACTATCTACAGTTGTGGACAATACAATAATATAATTTGTCTAGATCCTTCACTATGACAATCGTGAAGGATTTTATGAGTAACGGACTATACTAATGTTGATTTACGTACGATAAAGCTTCATCGTGAGCTAATACAGTAGGCGTTTGTCAAGGTCTGCTGAGTATGATACTTTTTACGTTCGGACTAGGTGCTAAGTGCGGGCTTTGCACTGGGTGCCGTTTGTGTCCCGGGTGCGGACTATCTAAGCAAGCACTTTTATTGTTGACGCAAAATATTTCCCTGCGGACTATGTACCGGGTCCGGGCTATAGTCCGGAAAATGCGGTAGTTCCTTCGAACTCTAGGGTTCTTGGACGATG